ACTGTAGCTTCCCTGGACATGATCCTGCAACATCCCCCCAGGTGTCTTCTTCATCTGTGGGGATCGGGCATGGGCATGGATCCCCCACAAGCTTAAAGGAGGTCTGTGCATGCTATCAACTCTTGATCTTGACCCCAAACATAACACTGATTGAAGATTGGAGACAACGGAAACATTTGGCCCACTTAAAGAGGGAGACTGCCATATTTGACGTAAATTGTGATGACAAGTATTTCAGTTGGCCAAAGACAAAAAGGGTCATCAGTGTTTTCACCGTGGGTGGAAGTAGCAAAGGCCCTCGACAGTCTCTCTCACTTGGGATGTTGGTAGTGAAGCGCATGAACCTCACTTATGCCGCCCTTCATGACCTCCTTAAAGATGAAGAAGTTACCAGGCATGCAACTTTACAAAACAGGGCAGCAATTGACTTCCTGCTGCTCACCCATGGGCATGGCTGTCAGGACTTTGAAGGGCTGCGCTGTTTCAAGTTATCGTCCCACTTGGAAAGCATCCACACTAGCATCCAGAGGATCCAAAACAAAGTTGAAGATCCCCAGGCTGAGAAGCCCCCTCAGCGGTGTCAAGATCAATTTGGACACCTGAGGATCAAGGGATGGGTAGGTTCTTTTCTTAATAATGTTTTGTGGATTCTTTTGGTTATTTTTATTGTTTAACTAATGTTTTCATGTTTTTTACATTTTGGCAAAAAGGCTGTTGGGGAGGCTTTTTTCAATTAAAAAAGAGGAAACAGTTCTGGAGGCTGACAAACTGACTGATCCTGTAGCCACTCTCCCCTGGAGGGAGAGCCTCCAGGCTTTTACCAGCTGCTCTCCCTCAAAGGGCAAGGTCTCGATGGAGAGCCTTTGTTGTTACAGGGACATGTTAAGTGGTGCCTAACATGTCCTTCCCCCTGTATGCATATTATTTGTACCCTGTTGTCCCTTCCCCCTTGTTCCGCCCCAGAATCCACAGACCATTGTCCCTGTAGCTTCACCCCACCCCCTGCTTTTCCTATATAATCCCTGCTCTTACTGAGCCAAGGGCACTTCTCGTCTCGGGAACCCTTTGGGAGAGAAGAATAAAGACCTCCTTGGAACCCCACACGGCACCTCCTGTCTCTTTTCCTTGGTGGCACCCAAGGAACAGCGGCCATTCCAAAAGCCCTTTGAAGGGCTCGCAGCTGAATCATGGGGGCAAGGCAAGTGTGCCAGGGTGCCCGGGGGAAGTGCCACAGGAGACGCTTCCCTGGGAAGGTTGTGCCACCTTGACCACCTCTGTCTGCTGCCACAGAGAAATGGTCAAATTTAAAATAAAAAATGCCGTTTTGAAAGCAATAAATTGATCAGTAATAATTTTAAACAGGGACAGCATGAGTCAGCCACTGACTTTGTGGACAGGCTCTGAGCAGCTGTGTGTTAATAGACAGCCCTAGATCCCTTACCAGACGTGGGAAAGCAGCAGTTAGTATCCCTGATGTTAGGGAAATCCAGCCCAGATATCGGACAGAGACTTCAGAAGCCAGAAGAGCCTGTAAATAGGGACTTCAAGGCATTCATGAAAAAAAGCATAGCAGGTGTACAGTAATAGAGACGAAAAGAGAAAGAATGAAAAAAAGCATAGCAGGTGTACAGTAATAGAGACGAAAAGAGAAAGAACTCACTACAGCCATAGGGGTAGCTCTGGATCAGCACCAGGGCAGGGGACATGGGCATGGATGAGACAGGGGCAAAAATACCAGAGGCGGAGGAAGTTCAAACCAGCCTCAGACTAAGTTGGGGCTGAAGCAATGTGCATCTTGTAAGAAAGAAGGACACTGGAAACTCCAGTGGCGCAGGGCTCAGAGCAGCATTCGTGGCCTGGCCCACACGTTCCTTGTCTGTGTCACACCCTGGGCAGGTTTAGGATGGCCACCAGCCGGGCCGTGTCCCAAGGAGGCCGTGCCAGCTTCTGTGCAAGGCCCCGTGCCCTTCCGGTTTGAGGCGTTCCTAAATATCCCGTCGGGGATATTTAGGAACGCCTCAAACCAGCAGCAAACGCTTGACGCAGTTCTGCCGGAGCCCAGGCTAGCTCAGAGAAACACACCAGCAGCCACGTCAGGTGTGTGGAACTACCTTGGTTTATCAGTGCCAAAGGCAGAAGCTTTGAGCCTTGTGCTCGGGTACAAACAAACAGCCAATGGGGAATCCAGGAGGAAGTAGCGAAGGGAGGGCGTTCCAATGCAGGAAGCATCAGGGATGAGGGGGAATAGAGGACCGGTCATGCAGGCCAATGAGGCCTCGAGGCTTAGGGGGTTGACAGGGAAGGATCCAGAACAAAGGGCAGGCTTTACAATGATGGACAAGGGGTAGGGGCAGGGTTGTGGTGACAGGCAGGGAAGGCTTGGGAATAAGGAGCTGGCTTTACAATGAAGGGCAGATCAGGGGAGGATACAACTCCTAGGGGCAAACCAACTTTGGATGAACAGGGGGGAGCAGAAGAGTGAACCATAGAACTGACAAACTTCCAACAACAACTAAACTTAAACAATTGCCGCAACACTGTCTTTGACACTTTGGGCAAGAGATTCCTTCCAATCGAGGCCACTTTGAGGGGGGATGGGGGATGGGGGGAGAACTAGGGCACGTGGCAGTGTTTGCAAGGGCCCTTTGTGACATGGTCAGCGTGGGATGGAAAGGGACAGGGTGTCAGAGGGCCCTTTGTGACACGTGGTGACAGAGGAGCTGGCCACAGCGACAGGTCCACGCCACAGTGCTCAGTGCACGCGACGGGACAGGACGCGCCAGAGCGGTGCTGTGAGGAGCCCCCGCACAGCGCACTCGTTTGTGTCTGACCCGGAGCTTCTCTGAGCCGTCATTCTTGCAGGTGACCTCGAGGCCAGACCACAGGACTTGGTGACCTGTGGCCTTGCCGAGGCTTCTTTTCTTAAGGTGCCCTCGAGGGCAGACTGTGGGACCTGGTGAGCCGGTGCTTTTCCGAGGCATCGCCCATCCCTGCAGTCACTGCCCTTGAGACCAGGGCACAATCCTTGACGAGGAGCCTCCTGTCCTTGTGGCAGGAGCCCTCAAGACCCGAGTGCAGGACTTGCTGTTCTGCAGTCTTGCCGGGACTTGAGGCTTGCAGGTGCCTTCCAGGCACGACTGCAGGACTTGCTGCCTCAGAGCTTTTCTGAGGCATCGCCCATCCCTGCAGTCACTGCCCTTGAGACCAGGGCACAATCCTTGACGAGGAGCCTCCTGTCCTTGTGGCAGGAGCCCTCAAGACCCGAGTGCAGGACTTGCTGTCCTGCAGTCTTGCCGGGACTTGAGTCTTGCAGGTGCCTTCCAGGCACGACTGCAGGACTTGCTGCCTCAGAGCTTTTCTGAGGCATCTCTATTGCAAGTACCATAAATCCAGGCACTGCCATGGAGCAGCGACCTCCAAGAATTCCCAAGCTGGCCTGGGTGGAGGAGGAGGAGAAGGAGGAAGAAGAAGGCCCTGGAGCTGCCCCAGATGTAGAGACGGAAGAGGTGCAGGAGTTCCAGCCGCTGGAGGAGGGTGAGTTGCAGAGCTCGGCCTTAGGGCTAGTGCCTGTTGCCAGCTTAGCCCCATCCCATTGCATGCCATGCCATCCCCTGGTGCTGTTCTGATGGAAAGGATGGGAGAGTGTTGGAGATCTGGAGCAGCGACCCCCGAGAGTGCCCAAGCTGGCCTGGGTGGAGGAGGAGGACGAGGAAGAGGAAGAAGGCCCTGGAGCTGCCCCAGAAGTAGAGATTGAAGAGGTGCAGGAGTTCCAGCCGCTGGAGGAGGGTGAGTTGCAGAGCTGGACCACAGGGCTGGTGCCTGCAGACAGCTTGGTCCCATCCCATCCAATCCCATCCCCTGGGGACATGCCCTCAGAAAGGATAGGAGAGAAGCTGGGGCTTGCCTCCAAGCAGTGGCTGTGCTCAGTTCCCTGGGGCTGTCCCTGCCTGGGGATCACAGGGCTGGGCAGCGTTCTCCAGCCTCTCCTGCAGCCCCTCAGCTCTGGCCGCTCTCGCTCTTTGCCAGATTCAGCCATGGACCAGACACAAGAGCAGGGCCTTGCCTGTGGCCTCTTCCATGGAACAGCACAGGTACCTGCAGCCATCCCCAACTGGGCTGGGCCTGCTGGCACGGCTCAGCCCAGCACCATGCTTGGAACACTCCATGCAATATCCCTCTCTTCCCACCCTTCCTTCTCCTACCCAACATGCAAATTCATCAAGCACATTTGGCAGGAAGAGACCAGCGTCATGGGCACTGGGTCCATGGAAGATGGTGACGTCTACACCAGCGACACCAGTGCTGCCATGCTGGAATTCATTTTGGAGGAGGGTGTTTCCATTCCAGAGCAAGTAAGCAGCCTGTGGCCAGGGGTTGATTCTCCAGGGATCGCTTGGCCTCCCAAGCCACGCCTGCTGATCACTCTAAGCCTTTGAGGCCATTGCAGCGTGGTGACAAGGGAAGCACTTCTCTGGAGATGCTGGGGACATTCCTGACTCCCTCTGGCAGCTTTCCGAGTCTCCCCTTGTGCCTTCTCCAGGTGCCTGCCGTGGTGAGGTACATCCACCAGTGGCTCATGGCCAATGAGTCTGCTGACTCCAGGCTGGGCAGGACCCTGCTGGATCTGACCGAGGCACAGCCCACTGACGTGGTCATTGCTCTCCTGCGTGTGGCCCCAACGTGTGACAGGTAAGGGGCCCACTTGCCCAGAGGGCTCAGGGCTCCCCAGCCCATCAGCCTGCACAGCCCTGCCCAGGTGTCTGAGCAACAGAGAGTTGCAGGGTCCTGTGTACCTGGGACCTTTCCCAGCCCTGCTACATCGGCCCCCAAGCCTGCTGCCATGCCATGCCCCCTCAGGGCCCTGTCCCCGCAGGGCTGGCTCGCCTGGGTGCTGCTGCTGGCGAGGGGCAGCGGGCAGAGG